TCCTCCAAATTGCTAAGGGAAAGAAGAAAGCCAGGACACCCCCTTGCTCAGGAGGGGCCCCGAAAGCCAGTGTGTATTAAAGGGCCCATGATGCCAGAGACCCAGATTTACTTGTGACAAATACTTCCCATTGCAGAATTTTACTCCTCCTCTAAATATTGGTGAGGATTTTGCGCCATGATGATTTATTTAGACGGTGGCCAGCCATGGTTTCCCCACATTTCCCTTTTAAAAAAGAACAACAAAACCTCGCATAGATATTTGAGCCTTTGTCACATGTCCTTATTTGTAGAGGCACTCATCGTTTACAGTTTCACTTAAGCAATTTTCTCACCTACAGTATTTGTTTCCACCTCCGTGCTGATATCAGGAAGTTACAGGACGCTCCCACTAAATCCCATGGTTGCTAAGCCCAAAACCAGCTTGCGCCACCCCCATTCAGGAGAAACCATTCAGAATCTGAAGAAGCCACAAAATTCTGGACCCAATGATCTGAATCTGAATGGAGAGAGGGGCTTGTTGGGCGATTATTCATCATAAACCTATTGTTTGATGAAATAGCTTCATTATAAGAAACTTCCCAAATCACAAATTCAGATTTTCTGACTAAGAAAAGAAAGTGTAAAATAAAGGCAGCCTTTTTCTACACCAGTCTGCTTCAGAGTCTGGAGAAGGGCAGAGTTGCTTGTGCAAGAACACATGTAAGAGCCCATCACACGCTCCAAGTTCAGGGAAAGAAGATCTGCAGGATCCTATAGGAAAGTAGCCCTCACCCAAAGACTGTTTATATCCATCTGAGGATCAGAGCTCAGCTAAATTCTGTAGTGAAATAGCCTGTCGGGGAAGAGGAATAAGTACAGTAAGTGTAAATTAATACAGGATGAGCTCAACCCTGTGTAGCAGAAGCTAGATGCAGGAGCTAGGAGCAAGCCCCAAGGAGGAGAGTTAAGGGCTGATTGCAGGAGAAAGGGTTTCTTTATTTTCAGTGTTACTTTAAAGAAACCTGTGTTAACAGAGAGACACTTACTTGCAAGGTGTTAGATTTTTGTGGGGTTTCTTTTGCGTTTTGGGAGTTATTTTTTTTTTGTTTGTGTTTGCAGTACCGGGGATTAAGCTTTACACTGAAAGCCTTCACACTGAGCTAAATCCCAAGCCCTTTTTTACTGTTTATTTTGAAACAGTATCTCCCTAAGTCACTAAGGCTGGGCTCAAACTTTCGACCCTCCTGCCTCAGCTTCCCAGAGTGCTCAGTACAGATGTTGAGTTCTGACTCAATTGTGTGGCTTTTGTAGTCATAGAGAAATATTCTCCTGTCCCCTTGTCTCCAATCAGTTTGCTCTGAGGCCTGAGGTTCCCTTTCCCCATCTTATAAGCCAAGAACACTGGGTGTTGCAGCCCGTCTGACAGTCTCTTTCCCTGTGGAGCCAGGCTGGTGATAGTAAATGTGACCACACAGGCTGACAAGTATTCTCTTTCTTCAGGCCAGTCACGCCCCGGCAGGGGTGATCTCACTGTGAAGAGGTGTGAGCCCCTCCCTCACCCCCAGGGAGTGGCACCCCAGCCAGGGCCTTGTCCTCAGATGCCTGTCCTGTGCCTGAGACTTTCCGGAACCTGAACTCATCAGGCTCCGAGTTACAGCAGGTTCTAATTCTCCAGCAACAGCTCAAGCGCCAAATGCCATGGGGCTACTGGGCAGCCGAGCCTGACCCCAGAGAAAAGCTAGAAAAGTTCCAACAATGGAGAGTTTTGAAATCTCATCTCCAGGGAGAAATAAATCAATTTGAACAGATATTTCTGAAAACAGGCAGGCACCAAAAGGATTCTGATGGCTTAATTATGATGCTTCCATTTAACTTCTTAAGGAGTCTTATTTTGATCTATCTGATTTTCTCAGTTAATCCTGAAAACATAACAATGACTTGCAGAAAAAAGGAATGAAATTATCTCCACATGCTTCCTTTATTTTTCCGTCCTGCAGAACTGGGGATTGAACTTAAGGCCATCACACTGAGCTACATCCCCAGGATTTCTCTTTTTTTTTTTAGACAAGGTCTCTCTAAATTGCTCAGGTGGGGCTTGGACTTATGATCCTCCTGCCTCGGCCTACCAGAATGCTGGGAACACAGGTGTGTACCACCACACCCTGCTCCACCTGCTTTGTTCTGAGATCACAAGATTTTAATCTGCAGGTGTGTGCGACTGCCCAAACCTATTAGCTTACTATGTGTATAAGACTCAGCCATTTCTTTAAGACATTCTGGTGTTCTGCTTTTACCTTCGGAGAGATGGCCTGGTGACGGAATTCTGATGCACCTTCTAATGTCCTGCAGTAAGGCACACACTAAGGAGTGAGACCATCTGGACTGACAGGAAGCACTTGGAGGTAGAAAGGAAATCTGTTCAAAGACTCTAGGAGGGATGTTCACTCTGGGAGGAGTTCTCTGAGGAGGCCCCCACACCAAGTGTGCATTTTGCACATTATACATAGGTGGCCATTGGCAGGGGTAACAGATGCCCTGGCAGGAGGCTGGATCTACTGGCAAGAAGAAACTCCTTTTGCTTGATACAAAAATGCCTCCTCCTGGGCATGGTGACATATGCCTGTAATCCTAGCACTTGGGAGGCAGAAGCAGGAGGATCACCTTGAGTTTGAGGCCTGGGCTACACAGTGAGTTAAAGTTCAGCCTGAATTACATAGCAAGACCCAGGCTTGAAAAACAAAACAGATGCCTAGTCCTTATAATGTGACCTGTGGCTATGTATGTGCACCATGAGCACTGCACAAAGGCACCCCGATGGCATGCAACTGGGGCTAGAATCCTACTCAGAGCTCTTCTGCTAAGCCATGTGCCCTGGCCTGGGGCTCTTAGGAGGCAGGAACTTTGCTGGTTAGAAGCCATGAGGCCATGTGCTATAGCACTAGTACAGCACCTTCTTCAAATTTACCCACCCAGAGTAACATCTTTTGCCCCAAAGCATCCTAGCCTGGCTCTAGCTCTGTGGCTTACCCTACCTGTGTCAGGGCATTTACATTGACCCTGGCCTTAAAAACTCAAACACCACGTGAAACATTACGCTGAGACCAAAGGCATGTGTTCCTCGTGCAGGTCAGTGGCTGTGCTAACAGAGTGCATGAGGAACAAGGTGCTGGCCAAGTTCTTCCGGGAACGGCAGGAAACACTAAAACACTCGCTGCCTCTGGGATCCTACCTCCTGAAGCCTGTTCAACGGATCCTCAAGTATCATCTCCTCTTGCACGTGAGCCTCTGCCTGCACCCGGGCACCGTCCAGGGGATGGGGTTTTCCTGTGTGGATTTGAAATGTGGGGGGAAACATCGGGAAAGTCTGTGGCCATGTGGCAACATTTTCCACTCTCATACTTTACAACTGACTAATCTGCTTTGAGGAATTAGAGATATTTATATTCTAGGCCTGCAGCCCCATTGACGAGAGCCAAGTCCAGAGATTAATTTTAGCTCGGACAGTGATAGGGCTTAGGACTGCCTCGAGCTGGCAGTGGCGTTTTCAGGCAGGGAGCTGTCATCCAAATGGAAAACAGATTTTTTTCCCCTGTTTTATTTCTGTGAGCTCCGATTCAGTAGGCAGTTGGGAGGAAAAGCTATTTGTCATAGATTGACTTGTATATGAGAGCAAAGAGAAGGGCTGGAAAGGAGAGTACAGATGAGTAGCGTGATAAATGGTTCCTGAGCCAGGCTCAGCACCACTTCCAGGATCTTCCCCTTTAGAGTATTTTCCATTCCTTCTACACAGCTCAAGGAGGCTTTAGAAACAAAGATAGACAGAACTCTCGAATGCTCAGTTCATTCTTATCCTCTAAGGGATTTGAGAAAAATAGGAAAAAATTTTACTGATGGTAATTTGCATTCAGTAAATAGCATTTGCCGACCTTTGCAACAGGGGAAAGAGAGCAGTGTGGCTAGTCTGTCTGCCCCTAAATCCTACAAGTTGCCCACGTTCCCTGTGGCTCCTAGGTACTCAAGAAAAACAAGCTAGTGTTTGTGGGTTTCTGTTTTGTTTTGTTTTTTTGTTTGTATTGGGGATCAAATCCAGAGCCACTGAGCTACATCCTCAGCCCTTTTTAAAATATTTTCATTTTGAGACAGGGTCTTGCAAGTCACCGAGTTGCCCAGGTGGGGCTCAAACTTCCAGTCCTCCTGCCTGAGCCTCCCTGGGTGTTAGGATTACAGGCTGCGTCACCACGCCCAGTTTGTAGTTTATCATTTTTATACTGCATTAAAAACCTTTTCTTAAACTGATTTTAATCCAGAGCTCCTGTCTCTCAACATGCCTGGTATCTCTTTCTAAATTATTCCAAGTTTCTCACTTGGATAGTCATTTTCAGATTTTCTCAGCAATTCTGAGCAATTTCAAAAACTTTTCAAATCCACCTTTGCCAGAAATGTCTTACCTTTCTCTGCTCTCCTGGGAGGCTCATCTTTGAAGGATTGTATATCCTCTTAAGCCACATCAGAGCTATTTACTTTAGTGTTTAAATTGATCCTAATGACCTTTTCGATTTAGTGGGCTAAGTTTGCTAAATCAGTATCCAAATAATTCTTAAATAAATAATACCTACCCCAGAACAAATCTCTGCTTAACTCTGTTAATATGACACCTAAGAGCTACGTTAAAAGTTTTCTGGTTTAAAAAAAAAAAAAAGTTTTTTGTCTTATAAGAGTGAGAAGTATATTCCTGAGAGCTACTTTATATTAGCCATGAGGAAGCTCTGAGATCAACTGTCATAGCCATTATAATTAGATGTCCTGCAAGACTTACTGTTATGTTTCATCCTCTGTCCTGGAATTCTAATCTACTTTTATTATTCCTAGCCTTGTTTTTTATTTCCATTTTACCATTTTTTGGAAGGTCTTTCTAGTTATCTCAAAATCTTAAGAAATCATGGTAGTATGCAAAGAAATAAACAAAAATAAAATATAAGGAACTAATCATAGAGGTGTCATTTGTTTTACAATTGACTATGGTTTTAAAAAAAAGTGGAAAGTAAGTTGTTCTTTTTTTTTTTTTTTAAGGAAATAGAAAATCACCTTGACAAGGACACAGATGGCTATGATGTCGTGCTCGATGCTATAGACACAATGCAGCGTGTGGCCTGGCACATCAATGACATGAAGCGGAAGCATGAGCATGCAGTGCGGCTGCAGGTGAGCCCAGGGCGGGCGTTGATGTGCCTGACAGGGCTGCATCATTTTCCAAAGCGGATATTCAGGCTGCACAAGTGTTCCCCTTCATTTGTGATCTTCATCATAGTTCTATATCCACTGTATTCTTTTTATATATATATATCGGGGATCGAACTTGGGACCTTGCACTTGCGAGGCAGGCAGTGGAACCACTGAGCTAAATCCCTAGCTCCCACAAGAAAGATCAGGATACCCATAATACTGATCATTGTTTAGAGTGGCTATTTAAGACAGCATTACTTTGTAACTTTTAAGCTAATTGTTTTGTAGCTTAAACCTTTGATGACCCAGCTAAAAACTTGAGTCTCCCAAGGTCTTATCTCATATTAATTACAAATTAGTAATTCTTGTTGAAAATAACTTTCTCTAAACTACTTAAAGACCATTTAAGCCTCTGTTCTCTCTTACTAGTTCATGCACAATGCTAAGATGGTGTGTGTGGCCACAGGATCAGAAACACAAGAGAGGGGAACAAAGACTGACTCAGTTCCTTTCCAGTTTCACTTGAGACATGACTCCCAAACACATCACTTTAGTTTCCTCACCTTTAAAATGAGAGGTCCCATCCAGTAACAATACTGTGAGCCCTAAATCCTCAGAAAATTTTGGTAGATGCTGAACCTATTATCATGTCCTGAGTGCTTCAAAGCTGTTCCATAAATGGCCAATAAATACATGAAGAAATGTTCAACATCGCTGGCCATTAGAGAAATGCAAATAAAAGCAATACTGAGACTATCTTACTGCACAAAAAATGGCTATCATCAAGAAATCAAATAATAAAAGATGCTGGTAGGGCTGCAGGGGAAAAGGAACCTTTCTACATTATTGGTGAAAATGTAAACTAGTACAACTACTATGGAAATCAGTATGGAGATTCCTCAAAAAGCTGAAACTAGAAATTCCATTTGACCGAGTTATTCCCACTTCTAGTTATCTTCCCAAAAAAGAGTTAAAAGATGTCATATATTCAGTGATACCTGCATACCTGTATATATAGAAGCACAATTCATAATAGTTAAATCTTAGAAGTGGCCTATATGCCCATCAGCAGATGAATGGATTAAGAAAATGTGGCATTTTTATCACAGTAGCTTTGTAGTATAGCTTCAAGTTGGGTATTGTGATACCCCCAGCTATTTCCCTGCTGGTTATTTTCCCAAAAGAATTAAAAGAATCACACCACAGAGATATATGTGTACCCATGTTTATTGCAGCACAGTTTGTAATAGCTAAAGCTTGAAAACAGCCCAAGTGCCCATCAACTGGAAACTGGGTACAGAAAATGTGGTTTTTTTATAAAATGGAGTTCTACTCAGCCATAAAGAATGAGAAACTAGAGTCATTTATAGCTAAATTGATGCATATTGAGGCCATACTCTTAAGTGAAATAAATAAGACACACATGTGTAAATACCAAATAGTTTCTATAGTGTGAGAAACTGAGAATAAATAAGGACTAAAAGGATTAATAACTAATAAATGATACTTTGAAATTGGAAAAGGTCCAAAGGTGTAGGGGTGGTGGGAGGGGAAGGGAAAAGGAAAGAATGGAAAGGAAAAATTATGAGAAAAGAAAAAAAATGGAAACGAAGTATGTAAATAGGGAAGGGTTTAGGGGTGAAGGGCACACAGGTAATGGGGAAAAAATAAGAACCAAGAAACATCATGTTCAGGTACAAGCACCCAAAGATAAATGTAAATATACTGTATACCTAAAATGTATCAATAAAAGAATTTAAGAAAAAAATAAAATAATAAAATAAAAAAGCAAAAAAAAAAGAAAATGTGGCATTTACACACAATGGACAAATACTCTGTCATAAAGAAAGTTAAACTTGGGTTATTTGTAGGAAAATGGATGCACCTTGAGATCATAATATTAAGTGAAATAAAGCTTAAACATGGTATGGTTTCTCTTATAGGAGAAACCCAAAATATAAATAAAGAGCAAAATGAAAAATAGAGAAGAGGAAAATAGGGAGATAGTTCTTTCCTAAATGGGAGGAGGTCTAGAGTGGGAGGGAGGGGAGGGAAGGAGTATGAAAAGGGCATTCAAATGTGTTATGCACATGTGCCATCTCCACACAAGGAATGTGAACATTATATACTGCAAATCTGTACTGAAAAAAATGTTTAAAAGTAAAAAGTTCATATGGGCCCAGAAACCAGTTCCAAGCCCCTTCAGCATCCCTAGAGAGACAGAAAAGCCCAGGGTGACCCCGTACTATGCAAACACCCATACCTCACTCAGGAAGAAAGACGCATTATTTGGCTCTTAATTCAGAATGGACAATAGATTTCTCCTCCAGTGTGAAGCCCCTGACTGTCAAAAACCAGAGGAAGACAGTCTCATCTTCCAGGCCAGGTCTGTTTTTTGCACCAGTAATAAAATGTTTACTGCTCAGCCCTCCAATGTTCTACAGGCATCGTGTCAGACATCACTGCATAGCCAGACACAGCTAAATGGCTGGGATTTCAGACCTTGTGACTCTGCGTGGCATTCTGAAGACAACACTAAGTCAGACTATGGCTCAGACTTATCTCCATGTCTATTTTTAACCAATGAAGTTTTTATTATTATTATTATCTTGGGGCTTCCTTTATTATATGGAGCTTGTGAGTATTTTCATTTTTCAAAATAATAAAATCAGCTCCCTTAAAAAATACTGATGTACGACATTGATACACAGTAAATCCTAAAGAAATGCCAGTCATGTTACCAATTTATATTTATCAAATTCCATTAGAAGCACTAAGACATAGTCACAGACAAATGCTCATTTCCTTTCCTTAAATAAATGAACTTAAAATCAGGAAACTCACCTGTAATCCCTGCACTCAGGAGACTGAGACAGGAGGATTACCACAAGTTCCAGGCCAGCCTAGGTTACACAGTGACTTCAAGCCCAGCCTGAACTACATAGGGAGACCTTATCTCAAAAAGCAAACAAAAAACAAAACAAACCCAAAAATAAATCAATAAATCTACCTGGAAACTTCTGAGAAACATGTGGTGTGATTTTGCATGGATTTTAGTTTTGAATTACTTAAATATGGTGCAGACTTCAGTTTCTGGAAGTTTTCAAGTCAACTGCTCTGTCTCAAATCACCAGAGAAGGGATGAGAAAGCAATGGGAAATCAGTGTCTCCCCAAGAAGGTCCCGAGCTAGTGACCCAATTATCCAGCTTTTGAAAGTTGTAACTCCTGCTGCCAGCCACACCATAGCCATTATTAAGGAATGGAAATAAGTAATTGGCAACTCAGCTGCTAACAGTTTGCTTCATGATACCACTCGTATTCACAGATTTCTATCCTAGACTGGAGTCACCACTCCAGAGGCCTAGGAGAGGGTCCACCAGGTCCTGGGTCCTTGCTCCTCGCCTCCTGTTTGACCTGCAGACCTTCTCTTTCTTAGGAGATACAGAGCTTGCTCACTAACTGGAAGGGGCCAGACCTGACCAGCTACGGGGAACTGGTGCTGGAAGGGACCTTCCGCCTCCAGCGGGCCAAGAATGAGCGCACACTCTTCCTCCTGGACAAGCTGCTCCTCATCACGAAGAAGAGGGATGACATGTTCACGTACAAAGCTCACATCCTGGTAGGTGTCGAGGCTGGGGGTCACCTGTTGGGGCTCCCCTGGGCTTGCCTCACTCCTGTGCTCCCCCTGTCCAGTGTGGCAACCTCATGCTCGTGGAGGTGATACCCAAGGAGCCGCTCAGCTTCAGTGTTTTCCACTACAAGAACCCGAAGGTGCAGCACACAGTTCAGGTAAGAGGGACCTGGTGGAGAGGGCGCTGATGCCATGCGCATCTCCCAGCTCTCCAGGGCTGCAGGGTTGCAGCTGTCCAGCGCCCCACTGCCCCAATCTACCCCCTAGGCTAAATCCCAGCAGGACAAGCGCCTCTGGGTTCTGCACCTGAAGAGGCTGATCCTGGAGAACCACTCAGCCAAGATTCCAGCCAAGGTAAGAGAAGGGGAGGGGTGTGGGGTTGGCAGTGACGCTCAGAGGTAGCAGGGTGAGCCTTCGGAACAGCTTTGAGAGGTCAGACACGTGGGGATCGGTTACCCCTGCCATTTATACCAAAGATACTGGTGTGGGGTAGGCTCTGTGGGGTATAAGTGTTGTTAATATCTCTCCTTTGTTGATTGAAAGAGAAAGGAAAAGACTGGAAAGAAGCTTCTAGAATCTAGTAGAAGCTGGCTGTGACAGCACACAGCTGTAATCCCAGCACTCAGGAGGCTGTGGCAAAAGGATCATGACTTTGAGGCCACCGGGGCCTATGTAGAAAGACTAACTCAAAAAAAAAGACGAGAAAATAGAGTATAAGAAATAAGCAGAGGGGCACTAAGAACCTGCCAAACAGGATGCCATGTGGGTGCCGTGGGGACAGAGCCAGGCCTGACCATGAGGGAGTTTATGGCCGAGAAAGCTGCCATGAACCCCGAACTGTTTGCTCAACGTGGTGAACTCTCAGTGCTGTAAGCCAGGCGTCGTGGAAGGACAGAGTTCAGCTGCAGGTGGGAGGGAGGAAAATGTCTTTTACTTGGTTCTTGAAGGATGAAGACTGTTTTTATTAGGGGAGGGGGAGGAAAAGGAAACCGAGGCTGAAAGAAGAGGGTAAACAAAAACAGAAGCGTGATGGGAGGAGCACCCTTTCCACTGGTTCCTGGGGTGCTGGGAAGGTAGGCAGAGGCGGCTGCTGCGGGGGAGGCTTGGGATGCAGCCCCAGGGAGTCTGTGTGGTAAGAGATACAGAGCGAAGGGCCCTCGCCAAGGAGCCTGCGCAACAGAGGGAACAGCTGCAAGACGTGGGCCAGAGACAGAGGGAACAGGCTGTGGCCCAGGCACGTGAGTCAGGAGTGGCACCCAGAGAGGCTGGGAGCAGGGGGTGGAACCGGTTTGATGGGGTTGAGGAGCCTGGGCGGGGCGGGGCCTCTGCAGGTGGAAATTCAGGTTCTGGGAGCCAAGGATCAGGAGAGACCGTAAGGGAAGAAGCCCTGCGGTTTGACAGCATGGCCCACAAGTATGTAAAAAGGAAAGAAAGACCCCGGGGAGCTCCGACAAGGGATCTGCAGGAGGAGGGGCACTGGGAGAGCTGCCAAAGAGAGGGGGCAAGGAGGTGGTGAGGAACCCAGAGGAGAAGGGCCAGTGTCGCAGGGAGGAAGAGCCTTGCAGAAGCGATTCGAATGGGAAGCAGAGGGATTGCAGTGGATTGAAGAGCAAGGGGGACATGAAGATCAAGCTGGTACAAACTTATTTTTTCTTTTCACAAAATTCAAAAAAGAAAAATGGTGGTAGTTTGGGGAGAGACCGGATCAAAGCAATATTTTCTGTCTTGGTAAAAAATAGCATTGTGATCCCTGGTACCAAAAAAAAATAGCGTTGTGGGTAAGTGGGCTGTTGAGAGGAGAAGGAAGCCAAGGCCCCAAGATGGAGGAGAGCTGTGAGTTCAAATGACACCTGGCAGGAGGCGGCAGCAGGGTCAGTGCTCGGAGTATCTTGGAAAGGGTGGGACATCTTCCCAGCAGGGAGAGAAGGCAAAAGAACATGGAAGGGCCAGGGGAAGCATGAAGAACTGGAGTCACTGGTGGCCATGGTGAAGTCATCTGCGGGGCTGAGGCAGGAATGGGGTGGGCTCCTGGGGGAAAGAAAGTGGGAAGGTTCAGAACCATTGCAGAAGGAAATGGGGTCATCACTAGCGGTGACAGATCCTTCATGAAAAGCACCAGAGGCCCAGCTGAGGCCAGCCCCCTCACGCACCTGATGCCATTTCAGAATGTGCTAGCAGCTGTGGATGAGAGACTGTGGCACATGCAGGTTCTTCCAGGGCTGGGAAGGGAAGGTCCCCAGGCCCAAGGAGGGTGGGTGTGACTGATAGCTACAGTGACAGAGCAAGATTTCCAAGTAAGTGGAGAGGGGAAACAGGCAGGACTGGAGTGGAGGAAGAGGTAATTAGAGATAAATTGGCCAAGGGACACAAGTGAGGAGGTGGGGGATTAGCCTCGCGGATGGTGGGGTTCTCAGTGGTGGAGCCAGGGGGAAGGAGGTGGGGCAGAAATGGGGTCATCGTCAGGACGGTAGGACCGGGTGGAAAGACAGGAGGACTGAGACCTGACGAGCGTGTCTTGCCCTCTGTTTTGAGAAGCCTTTGAGGCTGGTGCTCAGGAACTGCCTACAGTGGTTAGGAACTCAGGAAATGAGTGTGCCGAGGTGTGTGCAGAGGGAAGCAATTCCATTCCATCGCAAGGGAGCAACAGCGGAGAGGCCACCTCGTTTCTTCACTGTTTGTCATTGGTGCACTGGCCTGGGGCCTCTGGATCCCCTTCTGGGCAAGGGAAGAGCCACTGGGATATTCCCCACCTATTGTTCACGAGTCTGCTAGGAAAATCAGAATTGCTTAAAGAGGCTCTGAGAGGCGATTACAGACCATGACAAAGCTGCACTAGCTTACATACCTTCGCTTTCTCCCACAGGTGTGTGTGTTACTGGGGGCTTCCCCTTTATGTGTTGAAACAGTTCATGCAGCTCAATCGAATTACACTTTTCACCCAGTGGCTGATGCACTGAGAATCTAAAAACAGATGTTGAAGTTACAGTATATACACTATGCTAAGGACTTTATGTTTTTATTTCATCCTCAGAAAAACATTTTATGAATTCTTGTTCTTCGCATTTTAGAGAAAAACAGAGGACTCAGAGACATAAAGTAAATTGCCCAAGTTTAACCAGGACATAGTGAACCCAGATTCAAACCCAGGTCTGTCTAACCTCAAAGAGCTCCTCAATTATTTTGTTCCCACTAGTGATGAAAACACTTATTTCAATATTCTTTATCCACTGTTATAATAATTTCCTATCTTATTTAAACAAAATTAATTCTGTTGAGCTTTTTATATATCTTTAATAGGATAATTTCTAAAATTATTGAAGTTTTAAAGACATTTATTTCTATGAAATCAAAGAAATGCATAATAGGACATTTTAAACATCAAAAAAATGTATCATAGGGCTAATGATGTCAACACAGCTGTTTTCACTCACCAGTTCTTCCAAGCTACAGTTCAATCCCATAACGATCCTTGGCTGCCATCTAGTGGAATAAATGGGAATAATACTCTTTAGATTAAACGTCAAGATTTAGGGAAAAAAGTACAGGATTATAGATACCAGGGAATTTCTTGAAGCTAGCACATTTCCTTATATATGGTTAAAAAAAAAAAAACAAAACTGAATTCGTATCCAAATTAACGGAGAATAAGGCAAAGGTAAGTACTTTTGCAGTTTATACATTAACATGAGAACCACATGGCACTAGGGAGAAGGAGAGCAACGGTGCAAACTTCCAGCAGCTGGTTGCCAACCCACTTGCAGTGCCGTCTGCGGGTTCCACATCTGCAGATTCAGCCAACCCGAGGTCGGAAATATTAGGAGGAAAGCACTGAGACTGCCTTCACTGAACACATACAGACATTTTTCTTGTCATTATTCCCTACTATTTACATAGTATTTACATTCTGCTAGGTATTCTAAACGGTCTAGAAATGAGTTAAAGTCTACAAGAGGATGTGTGTGAATTATATGCAAATATTATGTCACTTTTATAAAGGGACTTGAGCATCCATGGGTTTTGGTCCTTGGCAGGGAGCAGGGAGGGGTCCATTCCCCCATAAATACAGAGGGAAGACTGTGGTTCTAAGGGCTCCCCAAAGGCACAGAGAAGGTTGGCAGTGTAGGCCCCAGGCTCCATGCCTTGAGTTTTCGATTCAGTAGACAATGGTTGAATAGCAAGAATCTACACTTCTTAATAAGCTTCCCAGTGGATCCTGATCAGCAGTGGGGCTTGGACCAGCCTCTCTCCCCATCTCATTTTTGCAGGGGTTGGGTGGGGTACACTCTTAGTTCTGGCATACCAGTTGGACAACATCCACTACCCCCAAGAAGGCACACATATGTTTGGATCCCCTGAACTATGTACTAATGCCTAAAAGAAACATTGGGTTTTTAAAAGCTTTTAAAAGTCCATTTAGTTGGGGTAAGATCTATGTCAGGATCGATAGTTTAAAAAAGACAACTAGGGCCGAGGATTTAGCTCAGTGGTTCTGCCGCCTGCCTCAAAAGCAGAAGGACCTGAGTTCGATCCCCGGTACCAAAAAAAAAAAGAAAGAAAAGAAAACTAATAATTGAAATTATATCTACACTTTCTCTCTTTCAGGCCAAGCAAGCAATACTTGAAATGGATGCCATTCGTAAGTTTTGTTTCCCTTCCATAATTTGAACTGTAACTGCCTACTTGTACTGTATCTGTCACCTTTTCTATCTTAAAATTTATAAAATGTCAGTTGTAAGAAATTGAAAGCTCGGGGCCGGGGATTTAGCTCAGTGGTTGTGCTGCCTGCCTCGCAAGCACAAGGTCCCAAGTTTGATCCCCGATGCCAAAAAAAAAAAGAAATTGAAAGCTCTCTACTCACTGTTTTATCAAACAGAGCAGAAATTATAATCCCTACAAATACTACATTGGTTTGTTTCTGCATTAATTCTCCTGGTTTATCTGTGCATCACTCGATGGCTGGCCACACGTCTAGGTTTCTGCAGCAGCTAACAATGTCAGATGCACCTCTGGAATCAGCTCTGTCGCCCACCTCCTCCACCACTGAAAAACAAGGCTCCGCAAAGTGCTTCTCTTTCATCCTAGCCCCTAGATATCCCTATAATGCGATACTTACTGGTTTTTTTAATGCAGCATATTCTAAAATTATAACCATCTCTAAATTTATAAAAGCAATCAGAGCATAGATATGTCAGGTCCTTCTTATTAAATAAGACCTTGTTCAATAGCATTTCTAACAACTTTGTTATTTCTCAAATTTGAGAACAGAAAGAGAAAACAATGGTTTTAACCACTCACCACTGGATCTGCTGGAAACTTGTTTAAAACACTTCTAACTAGGCATGGTGTCACGTGCCTGTAATCTCAGCACTCTGGGATTTTAGGCCAGTGTGGGCAACACTTCTAATTGAAACCTTTCAACATACCTTACTTTTAAGGAATCTTTTCTCAAGTATAAACATTGATTTCCTTACCCTCCAGCCTGTCACGTGTTAACCCTCCAGGAGAAAAAAGAAACATCAGGAAGGTAGAAATGAGAGCATAGTCCCACCACTGTAGCTGTGGCTCCAGGTTCCCATCCAGCAAATATGAGAAACTGATGAGCAATCCCTATCAGAGGGCGAGTCTGTGTTCTCTAAATCCCCACATTTTATACCATGGAAACATGGAAATAGCCTTAAGAGTTTTAAAGAGCTGTCTGAGAGGTTTAGTCATCATGTGGGCAGATGCACATTAGGAGGAAGACATAGATCTAGAGAAGTCAGCTGCTGTGGGAACCACAGCTCCGCTCCACAGAATGATCTGCTTATTGCCAGGCTCTGAGCAAGCACTGGAGATGGATAAGATGGTCCAAGTGCCCCAAACTGTTCCATGCACCTGTCATGCCAGGCTGAGTCCAGAGCAGCCAGGCTGGAGACAGTGACCTTCTGGAAATTTAGACCTGGCTCAGCCGTGCAGGCGTGGCCAGGAGCCCTCACTTGGTAATTCACCTGCCACAGAACTGTGTGTGGTCTTCGGGTCTGAACTCAAGTCTCCCTTGAAGCACCTGGGCCATAACTTGAGTGTGTTTATGCCTGTGTCCTTGGAGTGCTTGCCCCGAGCCTTCAGGGTGCAGATGATCACAAGACAGGCCGCATACTTTGGCCTCTGATCAGAATGCCTCAATCCAAAATCTGTGTGCAGCTCAGGTGGAGTAGAAAGATATAACTCAATGAAATTGAACACGGTTTTCTTTCCTGGTAAGAGTCTAAAGCTTTCATCAGATGCTTAAAGGGATAATGTCTTGGAACACATTAAGAGTGACTGCTGAAGGACACCTGCCACAGAGACATAAAGGGAACTGTCTTTCTGGGAAGGCAAAGTTGATGATTGACAGCTTCTTCTGCTAAGGATGGAAACAGAAGGCCGTGGGGTAGGGGAAGGAGGGGAGAGAGACAGAGGCAGGTCAGGGGCTCAAGGACTTTACCCACACACTCCTGGAAGCCCGGGGTATGTGAGAAGTTTTGAGATACAGTCAATACCAATTATGGTGGTGGTGGAACATATCCATGTCTGATGAAAAAGAGCAAATCCATCGATTTCCCAGAAGCCCTCACTCTGCCCTTCGGTGTCACCTTTGCAGACCATCCAGGATTCTGTTACAGCCCCGAGGGAGAGACCAAAGTGCTCTGCAGCTCGAAAGAAGGTTCTGCGCCATATCGGCTGAGAAGGAAGTCTGGTAAATGGCATATTGTGATGACAATGTAATATTATTGGTCACTAGAAGTGAGTGTCCCTCTCAGGAGGACAGAAAGACATTTTCTGTCTGGTTTTAGAGCTTGCTAATCTGAGTACGTCTGAGGCTGCTTTGAAACAAAACTTTCCACACTTTTAAGTTCTTTTTCTACTTAACTCTCTCCCATTTAACTCTGTCTTTCCCATGAATAGAAAGTATATCTATCTACTAATTTTTCTTTCTCCAGTATCTTGCCATTGGCATGCAGTTAGATAAATCCTGTTTGTTACTGCTAATGAATATCATTTCCTATGTATGACACATACAGTGGATTATTAACGCCTAAAATCAGAGTACACATTTGCTAAACCATACCTCACGAAGTGTTGTCCTACCCTTGGATCTTGATTCCATTTGAGTCAGTACTTATTGAGCATCTACTTCATGCCTTGCTGAGGACAAGAATACAAGAATAAATAATGTATGTGATTCCTGTTTGCAGAGGGCTCACTGTAGGAGACAGAAAGTGGAAATAAATATCAGTTTGTGTGATGGAGCTGTAGCAGAGGTGGGAAGAGTGGAAAGAGAGAGACAAAGACTATATATATATTAAAATATATACATTACATATATATATATGACACCTTTATGGTGTGAAGGACCAGTTATCCAGTGGTCTTCCAGTGGAATTTGGGGCTGAGAGGCGAAGGAGACAGAATGATAATGCCAAGGCCCTGAGACTTGCATCAGCACAACTGAGGACAGGCAGCTCCTACTGCCAGCTATGTACACCAGCTGGACCTGAGGGAGCCGGATTGGACAGGGCCAGATACAGTAGAAGGAGATGAGCTGGAGACATGAGACAGGAGCTTGACCTTGAAGACCTAGCAGGCCAGGCAGAGGCTTTCAACTTGGCAAGCCACAGAGGATGGGAAGCCATGAACTATGAGAACAGTTGCCTTCTAGAGAAAGAACTCTTGACAGTATGGGGAGAATGAGGTGGGCAGGGAGACCTGGGCAGGGGCCGGGGGAGGGGGGTGCAGTTGCCATGCTAGTCTTAAGGAATAGACAAGGGAGGCTTGGACTCAAAGACTGGTTACTGAGGTGAAATACTACTGGGGGCCCCCAAAACTGTGATAGATTAAAACAGGAGAATTTTAGAACACATTGTTCTACTGGGACATTGCCAGTTACTACCTTGGGAGAGAAAGATCAATGATAACCCGGTAGGAAATACAGATTAAGGAGCAGGTTTGGGGAGAACACAGTGCACTGAAATTGGATGTGTAGAGTTTGTTGAGTCAGAAGCTTGGGACAGGCATCTGGCATAGTTTATAAAATCGAAAGTTACCAGCTTATAGGTAAGGAAGTTGATTTACTAGTTGATAGGTTGGAGGAGTAGCAGTTTGCCTTTCTGTTATGTGATTTCCAATTCCTTAACATTTATCCTATCCTTCTGACAGTGAGTTTCTTGTCCCTAAATATTTATGAGCAATGGGAATTTAAGTAAATTTGATAAGAAATTTCTAGAGTTCATTTCATTTAATATAAACTAGTAATTTATAAAGAAAAAAATTTTATTTGGTTCTGCAAATGAGGCTGGTTTTATTTTCCTCCCAGAACCTTCCTCAAGATCACATAAAGTTTTGAAGACGGGTGGTAAGTTCCTAAGTATCTTTTCATTTTTCATTTTTATTCATTCCGAGTCAAACCATACACACACAAAAAAGAATGTCACATGAATTACAGTTTCACAGGTTCAGTGATTGGATTACAAAAAGATGAACTCCTATAAGCAAAATTGTCTCATTTTTCAATGTGACAAATGGCATAAATTATGTGCAATATATCTGACAGGCACAAAAGATTAATACCCCTATTATGTAAAGAAATTTCATATAACAAAAAGAGATAAAAGACTCATTTAATGTATATCCATATATATATATATACACACATGTATACAAACACATAGAGATACAGATACACATATATACACACAAGTATACTTGGGCAGCCTTAGAAAAGAAACAAAGTACCAATAAAATTTTTAAGTGGTCACTCATGTTTATACTTTTTTAAAGCATCTATTTATGTAACATAAATGGATGGGGAAAGCTATGAGCTTGGCACTACAGAACTGCTATAGAAGGGTAAGTTTGTGAACCTGTCAGGAATAAAATTCAGTGATGCCCATTTAAATTCGCAATGGCATTGCCCTTGACCCAACAGTATAGAAGTACTCACCCCATGCAAGTGTAGACAGATCTGTGTATGTGTAATCTTTGCAGGATTTGTAATAGAGCACTACATAAAATGTCCATCTAGTGACAAATAGTTAAATAAATTGTGGTATATCCGTACATATAAAGAAATAATTCTACAGCTTTGGAAAGAATGAAGTAGATTTCTATCTACTAATAAGAGTATCCATAAATATTTAGCCAAAATGCAGTGTTGCATTTTTGCAGCCTCCTATTGGAGGCTGATTTAAATAACAACTGCTGTGCATCAGCGGGATGGGTGTAATGCATCAGGATCCAGAAAGACGGACATCAGACTGTTAACAGTAGTTACCCCTAGGGAAGGAGATACATGGGAGGAGAAGTGCTTTATTCCGTAACTATACAGCTTTTAAAGACAAGACACACATAATCAAGATATCTGTAATAGTCCTCACTATTTCACTTGCGTATTCCTTAGCCCACAGTGAAGGAGTTCCTGTTGATACGGCTGTATCATTCAGTCAAAACCAATAAAATGTCTAAAAATCCACAGAAGCATTCTCCTGTCCTCGTGTAATTTTTATGGCTTATGGCATGAGCATTTTTCTTTCGGGTAGTACATATTTTTGTTTGGAAGATTTGGAAACTTTGTAACATAGAGTAGATCATTGTTTTCAGGGACACTTGAGATTCAGATAATGTACTGTAGCTTACTATCGCCAAAGATACATGACTGGGATAATGGAGAGGAATTTTTGAAGATTAGGTCCAAAGGCCCCAGAATTCTGTTGGTTTTCAATTATTAGAAATAAGTTTATAAGTCCTATAAAACATTAGTGCTTATTTATGCACAAAGTACATTTTAATTCTCAAACTTGAGACCAAATATCTTTTGTTTTGCAGAAACAGCACAAGACATCCAAAAGGTAAGCATGATCATGTTGCTTTTAACACATTGATTGTGGGCCTCCTTTGTCTTAGTGCTCTTCCTTTACAGTACATCTTATTCCAGCCTGCATTTTCACTGCAGACTGACTACATTTTGGCAATTTTATATTTTACATTTTATATTTGTTTCACATTTTTTAAGTTTTACATTTGATTTAAGGGAAGACTCAACCTTATGCACTTCCTACCTCCTCTTCTTTGTTTCATAGAGCTAAAGCAACCATGTATTTGTCCCTCTGCTCTGTGCCTCACCTTAGGAAGCACAGCTCTGGGGAATCCAGCTTACCTTGTTCACAGAAGCCCCAGCCCTTGACTCCTAAGTATAGCTCCCTTCTCAAAGCATTATCCTTCAGTCACAGGATGAGGTGCCCCCTCTAAGAATATGGGCCTAAGCCAAGCATGATGACACAGACCTGGAGACCAGCTACTCAGGAGGCTGAGGCAGGAGGATCATTTGGGTCCAGGAGTTCAAGACCAGCCTGGGCAACATAGCGAGACCTCATCTTCAAAAAAAAAAAAAAATTTACAATGAAGAATATGATCCTGCTGCTTGTATAAGAGGTGTGATGATATGTGGTATAGTGAAACTTGCCATACAAATTACAGATGTTTTTACTCTGATAAAAGGCTAGGATAGGGAGGGATAAGAAGGCTGTCTTACTTATGGATGTAGCTCAGTGGTAGAGCACTTGCCTACCATGCCTAAGGTCCTGGGTTCAACCCCCAGCACTGCCAAAAAAAAAAAAAAGTTATCCTTTTGTGAGATATAAATCCAAATTCATTACCTGCAAAGAGTAGATACTGTGTCCTGACCCGAGTGATTCTTCCAATGTGGCTGCTGATCAATTGGCTTAATTAAGCATCCTTAGAAAACTAACTGTGGCTTCTTGTTTAATGTTCTGTGTCTATAAGGTTGTAGCTCTGAATATCTTTCTCCATAATTCCATATACCAGGGCCAGACTGGCCCTGTTGATAAAGGCTTATCTTTCCAATAAACCAATAGAACATGTAAACGTCAGCACAGTCTTAAAGTTAAAGTTAAAAGTTAAAGTGATTTTTTATGGCTCAGGGCATGTACATTTTTTCAGGTAGTATATATTTTTCTTTGGAAGAATTTGAAAGATATAAACATTAATTCATTGACCCAAAATACAGCATAAGACTTTGATTTTGTAGTTTTTGTTTTCATAAATGGGGTCATTCCAGAAGGTACCTGTTATTGCTTGTATCTGGATGTCCCCCCACAGCCTCATGTTCTCACAGGTAGTACCTTTTGGAGCTGGCTAGATCTAGGGTGTGTAATATTGGGATTAAAGGTGTGTGGTACTAAATTAGTCCACTGATTGGAATAAGTATAGTTTTGGGTGTGGATAACAGAAGCCCCACCCTGGATGCAGGTGTCACCAATCAAGGGAGAGAGGGAAGGCAGACTGCTGCTTGCTGCTTGGTGCCTTCTGCCTGCCATTTACTGTTTCTCTTCTGCAATGCCCTTCTGCCATGCCACTCTGTCTTGGACCCAGCCAAATGTGGACTGAGACCTCTACAAACTGTGAGCTAAAATAAACCTTTCTTCTAACTTGTGGGTGTCAGATATTTTGTCTGAGCAACGAGACAATTAGCTAAGACTGTGCCTTCCCTCTAAGGTATCCAAAGTAGGATAGTGGAGCCAAGTCCCTTTCACCACTAAGGGAATTTTAGAGCTCCAACATTAAGAGCTTCTTGAAACTTTCTCCAAGAGTGTTCAAGCCAGGCTCATATGGGAACCAATTAAGCCTTCCTAAATCAGAAGACAAGAAAGAAAACACCAGTGAGCTCTTTTTAGTGGCAAAATTCTGTCACCTAACAGTAATGTCCTGAATGTATAGTAAAAGCAGGGACAGGAGATTTACTCATAATGAAACAGCTTATAATAAGAAATAGTCCTTAATAATAACTTAATATTTCTCCCAAAATATTTTCTGAAAGTGTGTGTGTGTGTGTGTGTGTGTGTGTGTGTGTGTGTGTGTTGGGTAAAACTCATATATCAGCCCAGACTAAGACATGGACGCAAATCCATTTCTGCTGTTTATAAACTGTATGACTATAGGTGTTGCTTAACCTTACCAGGATTTAACTTCCTAGTTTATGCAATTGTTATAAAGATTAAATATGATAATATAATTTTAAAGTGTGTAATTCATAATTGTTTGGCACAAAGCAAGTGTTCCATAAATGATAACTATTATCAAATTATTAAATAGTGTTAATTCTGAGAAAAGCAGAAAAAAATGTTCACCTTGGTTCTTGTAAAATTGTGATGTCTAAATTACTACATCTTTCTGTGTTGTGACCAATATATTCATTACGTCTTAGTTTCATCAGTTCTCCTAATGGTTTATTAAATGTAAATACCCAGCTTCCAAAATACTACCATGGTCATTTCAAAAATATTTAACTAAAAATAGACTCCAATATTAACAGTTCAGTTTTCCAGAACATCTGGGAATATTCTACAATGAAAGATCTTAAGAACAATTACTTTTGGTATTGTGACAAACACAAAATTATTTTGGTACACTTTCCAGGTGTTTTGTCATAATTTAACTGATGAATATTAACTCATTTTACTTTGTTGAAAAAGCAGTTACAGGGTGTTAGCCTTCATTGGTGTGATCAACTACCTGAGAAAAACAACTTAGAGGAGGAAAGGTTTATTCTTGACTCATGGTTTCAGATTAGGATCAACTGGCTTCTTGCTTTTAGCCATGTGGTGAGGCAGAAACATCATGACAGAAGGATATGGTAAAGGAAAGCTGCTCACCTCCTGGCAGCCAGAAAACAGCAGGAGAAGGAGCTAGGAACCAGAGGTTGTCCCCAAGGCCACAGCCTCATGACCCACTTCATCCAGCTAGGCCCTACCTCCTCATAGCACATTGGCCTACTGATGAGGGCAGTGCCTTCATAACCTCTTAATCCAACCAAGTTGACAACCAAGATTAACTGGCATAGCATGTACCAATATTTTTATAAACATACTAGTAGCGTTTCAGTAAGGCAAAAAGAAGAGCTACTAAAAGATGGAGGGAACTGATATATCAAGGCAGTACATTTTCTTACCAGTATTGTATGTGACATGTGAGGGAAAAAATATATAAAATGATTAATTCTTTTAAGTTTTAATAGAAAAATAGCATTTAGGGTGAAACTTTGTTTTTATCCTCTCCCTTTTTCCTTTTCTGGTAGATAACTGACAAGTGATGAAAAATTCTTGATAATTTGACATTTCCAATAGGCTACCATGATGTTTTCATCAGAAAATATGTCCCTGGTACACATTAATTTGAACAAGTCTTAACCCTTTCAATTCTTTGAAGTTAATCTATCTACAAAATAGTATCACAGTAATCCACTCCACCAAGAAAGGTTCCATGTTATAAATAAATAACACTCCATTGTTTCCTTTGCTTAGAAATCATTAACATCACTCATATTTTACTTCCTAACAGGCAATCAAATGTCACTTAACCTAACATTCTAACATTACCTTTTCGAAGGGAAACAAAAAATAACAGTGCTCAACACTGGATTAAATTATAACCCTGCAACAAGGGCTCTGCCTAGAATCTATAAAGTGAGGTAATGCTGGTCAGGCTGATGGTGGGTCAGCTGATTTGAGGAAACACTTGGGATTTGTGGTGGAGTTGCCCAGCTCCTGATATACAGGAAACCATGATAAGACTCCTGCGAGTCAAACTCTCCTTAAAAAGACTCAGATAGATAGAAAAAAAATAAAAAATAATTTTTAAAAAAAGACTCAGATAGAAACCAGACACCACGGCCCTTGACACTACGTGTATTCATTTATACAATCAATATCTGCCAAGTGCACACCAGACTTCTTTGAAGTATCTAAGAGTTGCCTATATTTAGTTGGCATCCTGCTTGGGGCCAAGAGTTTTGGAGTCAGACTTGCATTTGAGTCCTACCCTTACTACCAAATAAGTAGAGCAAGTTACTGAATCTTTAAGAACCTATATTTCCTTACTATACAGAAGTATAGTATACACCAAAAAATGTACATCAGGAAAAGAAAAATGTATATGAATATTTTAATACTAAATTTATCGAGACATCATGAGATTAATACAAGTTACGTTTGGCCTCTACAACTACAAGAGATGCTCAAAGTGGTGGCAATTAGCTTCCACACATTTATTATCCATATAGGAAACTGCTGAAGTGTGTATACATTTTTTTTTGGCAGACTGTATTAATCTAATATCTAATTTGCAGAGTGATTTTGAATATTGACTTTCGAGGTTATCTGCCAATTGCCAATAGCCACGTTTCTAAACAAATATTAATTCTTGTCTTTTCTGCTCCTTTTCCAAAAATGTGAAATGCTTTTCAACTCAATTTAAATCAATACTGTCTTCTGCTGATTTTCTTTAAGAATACAGCAGTATAGTGGCAGAGGCCACATGCAGGCCCAGGAGAAATTCCCCAGTTGTATGGCTGCTCAATGGTTATATAATTCATTGGCTTGTTTCTGTCTTTCTCAGGTTTCTAGAGAGGAAGGTTCTGCCCAGCTGACTTCCACAGGGCCTTCTCCTGCCCAGAGGAACAGTCAGCTCAGCAGTGCTGCCATCCTCAACGCGCTTCACGGGGGTGGCGCCATCAGAAACATCTGGACAGATCACCAGATTAGGCAGGCCTTGTTCCCCAACCGCCGGACCCCAAAGGAGACCGATGATGATGAAGATGACTACCAGATGTTTGTGCCATCCTTTTCCTCCTCAGATTTGAATTCAGTCAGGCTGTGTGAAGAGAGCAGCACTTCGAGTCGCCCTTGCAGCTGGCATATGGGACAGATTGAGTCCACAGAGACCTCAGGCACTGGCCACAGGATTGTCCGACGGGCCAGCAGTGCTGGTGAGAGCAACACATGCCCTCCTGAAATAAGAATTAGGGACAGCAACGGCTCTCAGTACAGCCCCCGGAGGGAACTGCAGAATGGTCTTCACACTGAGGGGCAGGATGGGGTGACTCCTTTTGGGTCAGCTATAGAGTTGACAATTGATGATATAGACCATGTCTATGATAACATAAGTTATGAGGACTTAAAGCTAATGGTCGCTAAACGAGAAGAAGCTCAATCTACTCCCCTCAAATCAGTCAGGGATTCGGCTCGCCCCAAGAGCACCCCAGAGCTTGCCTTTTCAAAGAGTCAAGCTGGCCACAGCACAAGCTCTCTACACCAAAGGAGAGATGGAGTGCTCAGCAGCCAGGAGGCATCTAACCCAAGCGCGCAGGAGCTCCAGGTGGAGGAGGAGAACGTCTATGACACCATACAGCTCCCAGACCCATCACTGGATTTCAAGTGCAGCAGCCTAAAGCAGCCCAAAAGGAGCACCTTCCTGGGTCTGGAAGCCGACTTTGCATGCTGTGACAGCCTGAAGCCGTTTGTGTCCCAGGATAGCCTCCAGCTGAGCGAGGATGACGGGCCTTACCATCAGGGGCCTCCGGACAGTGACTATTTGAACTTGCTGTATAACTCTTCCAGCTGTAACCTGTCCGTAGCCAATAAGACTCTGTCTGATAAACTGTCTGAGGAGGTTGATGAAATCTGGAATGACCTAGAAAATTACATCAAGAAAAACGAGGACAAAGCTAGAGACCGTCTCCTGGCAGCATTTCCTGTGAGCAAAGATGACGTGCCCGGCAGGCTGCATGCTGAGAGTGCCCCTGAGCTGAGCCGGGACTCGGGGCACACCACATCCACACTCTCCCTTCCCGAGAGCCAGGCATTCCTCACACCGGTGAAGACCAGGGTTGTCAGGCCTGGCCAGACCACCTGCCCAGCGGAGGAAGACCTGATTTCCACAGAAGGCTCCTTTCTGAGCTTCAGCCGGCTCTCCGCAGCCAGCGAGATGCCTCCTGTCGACAGTCCCTATGATCTGGTCAGCAGCAGTCTGCCCCCCACAGACCCAGAGAACACTGACCCTGGTATGGATGGCACCGATAAGACCAAAAGCCGTGTCTTCATGATGGCGAGGCAGTACAGTCAGAAGATCAAGAAGGCAAATCAACTTTTGAAAGTGAGGAGTCCAGAGTTGGAGCAGCAGCCAGCCAGTCAGCATCATAAGTCCACGCCCAAGGACCTGGCCGCCATCCTAGAAGAGAAGAGGCAAGGAGGCCCGGCCATTGGTATGTTTACACCGCTTTTCTTCCTTCTTGACTGTAAGGTGGGAGAGCAGGCGTCCGATTGTAAGTGTCCATAAAGTGGATACAGCTGTGAGAACAGTCATTCGAGTGTTCCTACCTCAAAGACCACAGACAAAGCCATGGGTGGCTTTTTCCACTTCACCAAGTTGTACAGCTGTAGCATGATGCAACTGCAGAGGATTATGGTGTATGTATAACATTGTCACTTTGGAAGTGATATTTTTTTTAGTTTTCTCTAATGGAACCTAAAATATGAAGAAAAAAAAAAGCCATCAGTTTTAACTTGTGATACCTTGAGCTTTTCTCTGTGTATCAGTAATGTGTTAGGAAGAAGAACGGTTCACGAAAGCTTTCCAGGCTTGGAAACAGACAGAATGGGATTGGTCTTTGCTTCCAACGCCCCACTAAAGTGCCTACTCCTACAAACAAAGGCAAAAAAAAAAAGTTGTTTTCACATTTTTCTTAGCTGTTTCACACTTTTCTTAGCTGTCTGTGCAATTCAGTGGTTTTCTCACGTATTTTGGCTGCTACTTGATTTTTAGAATAGCATCACATTTGGTATCCCTATTTATGCTTCTGTGAATCTTAATTCTTGAGTTAGACTTCCTCTGTGGAGCATAATAACTAAGTCAGGATTATCAGCATGACAGTGGTGAGATCAGGGGTCCAGGAATGAGAAGTTCCTCGTTTGACTTTCCTGAAGGACAGAACTCTGATCTCAGGGCAAGGGTTCAGGTGTAAACAGAGCAGGTGATTGTCCTGAATGAACTGAGGAGCTTTTCACCTCCAGACCTAGAGAGATTTCTAAAGTAAGGCCCAGGAATCTGCATTTTAAACAGCATGGCCTTGCCCTCACACTTTAAGAAATCCTGCCCTAGATTTTCTGACAGAGGACCACCTCAGTATGAAGAGAAGAGTCAGTTCTCCAATTAAAAGTAAAAAGCCTGGGCCAGGGATTTAGGTCAGTGGTGCCACCGTCTGCCTCGAAAGCGCAAGGTCCTGAGTTTGATCCCTGGTACCAAAAAAAGGTAAAAGGCCAATGGCTTGTATCAACAGGTTTGGCTGATCGGCTTCATAGTTACAGAGCACACTGGGACGTGTTGATGCTACTAATTTGGATATGTTGGTGCCACTCACCTATTTTTGGAATTAACTTATTTATCTATGTGGAAACCAGAGAGTAAGAAGTTGCTATCAAAATCCTAAGTGAATAACGGTGATGGGAATATGTAGAGATTTTTGTTTTAAGTCTGAGAGTATTTAAGAATTATCTAAACTAGCCAGGAATTTAGCTCAGTGGTGCCACCGCCTGCCTCAAAAGCACAAGGTCCCAAGTTCAATCCCTGGTACAAAAAAAAAAAAAGGATTATCTAAACTAAAGCTTTCATCTTTAGTAAAATCTCCTATCAGGAATGAAGGCTTAGAATTGATGCCTGAAGGGGTTTCTAGACTCTGAGGTCTTTTTCTTTTTAACAAAATAAAAGTTAACAGTGGCTTTCATATAAATATGACAGACTGTATCACGTATATTTTTCTCCTTATAATAATGCTAAAAGTAATTTCTGTCCCTTTTCCAATGCCAGCTGGTTTGTTGTTATATATACTCAGAGAAAGTGACTAAACTCCAGCTGCTGGAGGACTATTTTGGGAAGGCATAGATGGCCGGAGGGGGCTTTTCAGAATCAGAGACAATAAAATACTAAGATTTCTGAGGATGACAGACTAGGTCAGCACACTGTCTTCTGAACAGTGGTAATTGTTTGGGCACATTGTTTGGAATATATGACATCCATTAAGATGCAAAACACTCTTGATTGAAGCAAGGCCTTCCATACTAAATGATTGAGATTTACAACTACCTTGAATAGTCTTTTTACCTACCTTTTAAGTGTTAATTAATTTCATATTAGAGTTCTTTGGCTTCTTTTAATTTTTGGTTCTCCTGTTTGTTTTACCTCCTGGTATCTTCTTGGGATCTCTTGGGATCCCATGGAATCTCTTCTCAGTTTTGCACCTAGGTCCTTTCTTGACACTGTGGGCTACTTCCTATGACCTCCCCAACAAAGAGGAGCTGATCCCTCCCAAAGCACCTTCCAACAGTGCTCTGTCCTGGCCATCTAGCAGGAGCACATCCCTAGGGCCTGCCACTCTCGGACCTGGCAAATTAGATCCATGTCTCCTCCATCTGGGCGAGCGAGACCACTTCCTGTGCCCACCAGGCTTTCCGTCAGTTGACATGATGACTCCTTTTTCTCTTTCTTGTTTATCTGGGCACAGGACGTCCTACTCGAATGGACCGATTCTCCAGACTTCTGCGTATGGGCCTTGCCACTTTGCCAGGAGCTTGCTCTCGGTGTTGTGCGGAAGGAGGAGCGCCCTTTTCACCTGCTGAAACTCTCGAGCATCTTTATTGAACTCTCTACCAGGGGTCTACAGGCCCCGGGTCAGATTTCCGACTATAAATCACCCAACCAGGTCCAGTTGCTCCCACATTTTAGAGCCTGTTGTAGCATGCCAGCCGTCTTGTTCAGTCACACCTCGCTCCTGATAGTTTTTCAGATCAAGCAGAGGCCTTTGGGTTCCTGTTTTTTGATGATATTTCACATGGTAGAAAACTCTGTTTTCTCAAGCTTGAGAAATTTTCCTTGTGTAAAGTAGGGAAGGGATAATTTTATGCTGTTGACAATGTCTCAGGGAACATGAGAAACATTGATTTTAATCTTCTGATGTCGAAACAGCATATTTGATATTTCCCTTGGCAGGGCTTACTTCAAATTTTTATCTGGAATCATAAGAACTCCAACTTTCAAACCTTTAGAAAGGAAAATAAGCCTGAGATTATCATGTAATGATAAGGTATATGCTCTATAAAGGCTAAGGTTGCAGGTAACCTTGAGCCAGCTGACTGGTATCAAGGTTTTCAGGCTAGAGAAGGTGTCTCAAGCTGACTTTCCTGTGTATCTGCCTCAAGGGACCTTGTCTCTCATTCCCACTGGCATCATACAAGTTACAGGCTGTTTTGGGTGGTCCAGAAAAAAACAAGCTTAGATAAGCACAATATATTTTCTACCAGTGAGATACATTTTATTCATAATTGATAAATGGTCAACTCTTTGCTATTAAAGATAAACAGTGCCCACTGTGAATTGCCTATAGGAAGCGTTTTAATCCAAAGCAGTCTTCCTGCCTCCCTTTTTACTCTTATGGGCTGATTTCCAGACTGTTTTTCCATCCCCAGTGGCCTGAGCTCAGGAAAAGCCCATCCATTTTTAACCCTATGCTTAAAATAAAATGAAGGGGTAAAAAATATTGTCTGGGTAATGAAGTAGTTTTGGAGACCAATTTCTGTCTAGAACTCTGGTTGTGCTCTGTAGTGGGCTGAACAAAATGTGTAGCATTGTTCTCCAAATCAAAAGCTCATAGACTAGCTGGAATAAACTAGCCTATAAAAAACAAAGAGCAACACGATGTTGTGTATGTGCATGCATGTGTATGTACATATAAATATAAGATTTTAGAGAAAGAGAAATCAGTTAGCAGAGGATCCAAGGAAGACTGTGGAGAATCCTGAGACATGGGTAGGATTTAATTAGGCAAAGGAAGTTAAAAGTATGAGAAAGAAGACAAAGGCATGAAAAATACTGTGGATACTTTGGACAATACTTGTTTCAGATTAGCTAGGCTAACGTCAAGAGTACAGACTAAATTTTTTATTAAATTGTGATACTAGGATTATCTGAATTTTTAATTAGTTGTGCTTTCTCCCAAACCGTAATCTCCTTGGAATCTTCTAAAAGATCAGAGCCCTCTGACTCCAATGGGGCACAAGACAGTGCAGCGGAGTACAGGAGAATGACAGTGTGCAGTGCACCTCTGCCTTTGTCTGAAGCTCCAGCTGCCTTTGGCTGGATCTCATAGTTAATGAAGCACTACAGGCTTTAAGATGGTGAATACAGGTACACTGGTATCCAAAGAGACTTTCACATGTTCTTTCTTCAGCTGTTGCTAAATCTTACTTGGTATTAAGAGTTTTTGCTGGGCCATTTGAGGAATTTCCCAAGTTTTGGTTACTAGAAATTTCTAAACTAATATTCTCTGTCCTTGCAAGGAATTTGGAGTTGAAAACCCAAAGGATCTGCATATGGGCTCTATAATGAGCTGTTAGATATTTACTCTAATTGCAGGGAATAGAGGGTGAAGGAGTGGAGGAGTTGCAGTGAAAGGACACACGTCATAGCTGATTGTTTCTGTCATCAAAGAAGATAGACTCAGACACGGCTTGTGGGAAAGAAATGGCAAAAACTAATTAAATGAGTACTTCACAGTCAAAGGGTAATTTACTAATAACAGTTACTAGCAATATAAATAGCTCGAAGAAGAAGAAAATATAGTGTCATCTGCTGGGCCAGAGATTTAGCTCAGTGGTTCTAGCGCCTGCCTCGAAAGCATAAGGTCCCGAGTTCAATCCCTGGTACCAAAAAATAAATAAGTAAGTAAATAATGTCATCTGCTGGTTATCACAGATGGGATAGATTTCCTTCACAGAGATGATGTAGGTGATCTGAGCAACTTAAACACTGCCTGGAGTCCTTTGATTCTAGGGTGGTCATGTGGATGCCTGGACCAGACGGGAACAGCTCTTGAAACTGACATCTATACACCTCTCTTAAATCAGTCCTGGCCCAAGAGAATGCACTAACTATATTATGGTTCAGTTCATATCTTTAGAAGCGTCCATACTCAGAAGTACAACAAAAGGAAGAATGGCTTTACAGTTTAAGTGGCAAAAGTTTTATAGAAGTAACTGCCAAGTCCTATTCTTGAGCAAGAAGTGCCAGCAGATAGAGAGCATTGGATTATGGCATATATGCATAAGTGGCTTGTTAATGGCTTGGAGGCATGAACTGTAGTGTCCCCCTTCTTTGCAGTGGGAAAGGAGAAGGGAGTTAATCTGGGTGGTTTGGAAGTTCTGGAGGGGAGGACCTCCCTAGACATTGACTCCCCAGATGGTGGCAGTGGAAAGCTGTCTGGAAACCAGAACTGCAGGAAGAGACACCCCTAGAAGTAGTCCAGAGCAAGCAGGAGTGGCGAGAAGCCAGGGCTAGCCATAGCATTGTGCATTGTGGTCACGCTTCCTTTAGTGACTACTTGAATCATTTTCATTTTCATTTTTATTATTTATTTTTATTTACTTATTTACTTGCTTCTTCTGGTACTGGGGATTGAACCCAGAGCCTCACACTTGCTATGCAAGCATTCTAATGCAGAGCTATATGCCCAGCAGAATTATGTTTTATTGACTTAGCTTAAGTGCTGACATTCCTGCTTTTAGGATGCCTATTTTCAGCACTGACACTGAAGCTGGGTGTCCAGCCCAGTAGTAAAGTGCTTGTCTAGCATGCACAAGCCCTGGGTTCAATCGCCAGCACTACAAAAAAAAAAAGAAAGAAAAGGGGCCAGGGATTTAGCTCAGTAGTTTTGCCGCCTGCTGTGCAAGTGCAAGGACCAGAGTTCGATCCCCGGTACCAAAAAGAAAGTAAGAAAGAAAGAAAACAAAAGAAAAAGTAGCACTAGAAATTTTCATTACAATCAGTGGACACTCGCAGACCTGCTGTCAAAATAAAATCATGCAGAATTCAATCAAATTAAATGAACTTTTTGATGGTGTTTCTATGTTTATTAAACTGTAGGTTATTTTTATTAGTTTGTTTTCAGCAATTACCCATCTTCCAACTTCACATTAATTAAAGTACTGTCTACTATTTAAGGTTTTTTAAAAATATATTGATTAGATGCCAGGTGTGGTGGTGCATGCCTGTAATCCCAGAATTAGGGAGGCTGATGCAGAAGGAGGTTGAGGCCAGTCTGAGCTACATAGCGAGACCCTGTCTCAAACAAAACAAAATAAAGAAGTATATTGATTAAAACGTTATGTCCTTATATTTTATCTTCATATGTAGGAATAATCCCATGTGTACTTATTGTCTCAATATTTGCCTTCCAGGTGCCAGGATTGCTGAGTATTCCCAGCTGTATGACCAGATTGTGTTCAGGGAGATGCCCCCTAAAATTCAGAAGAATGGCTGGGCCAGTGTACAGGAACCCTCCCTCCTCAGGGCTGTGCCTCCTTCCCAGGCCCACCATGGCAGTGAGGAGTGGCTTTGGCATTCAACCTACAGTAACGGAGAGTTAGCAGATTTCTGCCCCCGGCCACAGCAAGACTTAAAATCAAAATATCCCACTTTAGAAACGAGTACAAAAAGTCCTCCTAGACACCTGTCTGCAGCTTGCTCCGTGCCTTCTCTGCAAGTGTGTGACCCTCTGCTGGGTTCCAAGCAGAGGTGCAGTGTGGTAGTGAGTCAGCCCCACAAAGAGAACTCCGGTCAGGGCCACCTTTACAACTCGCTGGGTCGCAAAGGTGTGAGTGCTAAAGCTCAGCCCTACAACAGGTCCCAGTCATCGTCTTCCATCTTGATCAACAAATCCCTGGACTCCATCACCTACCCTAGTAAGATGGGCAAGCTGCAGCTGTTGCCTCTACATCAGGGCTCCAGGAGCGGGAGCCACCAGGATTTGCTGCCAGATGTTGCTGACTCGAGTCATCAGGGCCCTGAAAAGCGCTCTGACCTCACGCTCCAAGACTCACAGAAAGTTCTGGTAGTAAATCGAAATTTACCCTTAAATGCCCAAATAGCAACACAGAACTATTTTTCCAATTTCAAAGAGACTGAAGGAGATGAAGATGACTATGTGGAAATCAAGTCAGAGGAAGATGAGTCGGAGTTGGAGCTGTCTCAGAGTCACAGAAATAAATCTGATTCCAAGACCATGGATGCTGACTTTTCTGATGACGCCTGCAGCAGCCACACATCTTACTCTCTGAATACTCCGTGCACTCCAAAAGAGCCAAGAAACAACAAACTTGGGCTTTCGCCATATCTGACCACATATAATGACTCTGACAAACTGAATGACTATCTCTGGCGGGGGCCATCACCCAGTCAACAAAATATTGTCCAGTCTCTGAGGGAAAAATTTCAGTGTCTCAGTTCAAGCAGTTTTGCCTAAAGTTCTTCGCAGTAGCTGCCTGAATTAACTACTTCTTGTGCTTATAAATTATAGATGCTGTACTGAGGAGGTGTTTTATTTGTTTTTTGGTTCTGGGGATTGAACTCGGGTCCTTGTGCTTGCGGGGCAGGTGGCAGAACCACTGAGCTAAATCCCCAGCCCAGGAGATGTTTTATTTGTACCAGGTTAAAACAGTTTTGTGATGACAGGAGGTGTGAAATATACTTTCTTTTAAAGCACAACTTTTTGAACCAGCTGGTCATACAGCCAGGATCGTAGCAAATACAGCATCTAACAGCATCTTTTTGATGTCAGTTGTCTTCGTGTTTCACTTAAGTTGATCTTACTTGAAATTTTTTAGGCTTTTTTTAACGTGTTGACCATGATATTTTTTTCCATATCTTGACAATAGTGCCCATACTTGAAGAAATACAATAATCCTCTCATATTATCCAGAAGCCCCAAGTAGCTTTATCCTACAACTCAGAGACAGCAAGGAGACCCTCTACACATGTTTTAAAAGGAGAGAAAACTAAAGCTGTTTAATGAATTGTGCTTATATCTGACATTTCTGTTAATTTGTGGCAAGGCCCTGGGATAATTTATGCCAGAGATCTCTAATTAGGATGTAGTCTGGGTGCCTGTTTTAGGATTTCTCTGCTGATATTCCTATATCATTTCATTTCGATGTAGAAATTGTGTGACTATGGAAAATTAAAATGTAGCAGGACCAATTTGCTGTATAAGCAAAAACGCTACCTGACAAGGCCTGGATTATGTGCTGCATATCATTGTTTATATGATTTGTGGGGTGAAATGAACCGGTTCCTTCATGGCTTAAAACCAAGAGCAATGAAATGCAAATTGACTTAACCACTAGAAAAGACAGCATAACTTCTGGGAACAGCATGATTATCATATTACAATTGAAAGAAGGTGGGAAACATCCAACTCACCTCACTGTACCACTATGTGTGCCCATCTCTAACAAACACCAAGCAAACCAGAAGCTAAAGAAAGACAAAGCACTTTAAAGTTACCCTTTCCAGAGCAGTTTTTCATATTCGCCTTCATGAGTTTTTGGACTCTGCCAATGAACCTACTAGATCCTAGCCCTGGGCATTACTACCCATGGGAATGAAGAAAGAATTTATTTTCTAAACAATACATAATATGGAGCCTTTTTTCATTGTTTTGAGGCATACAAAAGAACAGGTTTTGGTTACTAGGTTCTGACTAATAACATTTCTATGTTGTCATTACAGTCTTTATTAAGCATTTCTTTGTGATGTTATATATTAACCTAGCTCCTTATGGAAGGAAACGGAAGACCAAAAGGAAGATACTGTGAGTAAAAAGTAAAATCAAAGAAGCTAGAGAGAAAAATGAAGGCAGATTTTGCTACTTTATAAAACTATTCTATTTTATTAACATCTCCATTAATACATGAAGAATATTTTCTCACAGTGCCCTTTGTAGTCTCATTTTAAGCAGTTGTACATTGTAGCTTTTCCTCATACTCTCATTTCCATTTTACTTTCTTTTCTCTTTATTCTAATTAAAAACCAATTTAAAACAACCGGATTCCATTTTTAAAACTACAATAATTTGTGTAGAGAAAGGGGTCCAGTATTTTCATTGAACGGTAAGCGATAATATTGAATCTGTAACATCTTGGTTTTTTTGGTACCAGGGATCAAACTCGGGACCTTGTGCTTGCAAGGCAGGCGCTGGAACCACTGAGCTAAATCCCCGGCCCACATCTGTAACATCTTACCATAATCCTTTCCCTCTTTCTAAGCCCTATGCCTCTTTTTCTTACCTGTAAAGCATAAAATGTGACTATATTTTACAAATAGGTACCTAAGCCAGTTTTCACTTTAAATAACAAAACAGCCCAAATTTCTTGTTCTCCAAACTAAGCTCTCTTCTCGTGACTCATAAAGCCAGAGGCTGAAGATGTAGCTCAGTGGTGAGCATTTGCCTGACATGCGCAAGGCCCCAGCATTTATCCCCAGCACAGGAAAAAATGAGTCCATATTGAATACAGTGGCTCTGTAAACATACCTTCTTTTATTGCTATTATTTAAATATGGTATAAGTTTTCAATATTGAACAGTATCAAAAAAAGATAGGCACCATGAGAAAGTATGTTCTTAGACTTGCTAGAGGTGTATGTAAGTGCATTTGTATGACCTACTAAACAAAACTACCTGACTCTTGTCCAGGGATGCAGTTTCCATTTTCATTTTTGGGTCTGTATAACCCAAATTCTACATGGTCTATATTACTGTTGTGTCTGAGTCTCAGAAAGTACTAATTCTTCACACCAGTGTCTCCTTGTACAAACTTTGGTGTCACCCATAGGGATGCAGCCCCCTGCACAAACTGTGTGGTCCTTCAGGTTCTAGGACAAATCTGCAATTTTATAGATGACTTCTGTGGACCAGGATGCAGATTTTGAGAGCTGTGTGTACATATTATAATCATGTTTGTATGTTTCCTCAGCTATCATTTAAATGCTTTTGTTTGAATGAGTTTCTTTTCAAGGTGGGATAGGGATGTATATATAATTGAGGGAAAAGTTACATGTACTTTAAAGTTCTTATTAGGTTCCTGTATGAGAGAATCAAATTTTTTTCACATACTTATTCTTTGTGGGAAAATGCACCTGGGAAGCATAGTTTAAATACTGTATATAAGATAATGAACATTAGAAGTGCCCATTATTTAATAAAATTTGTAAAGTGCAAAGTAAATTATAGTGTAACTTAATGTGTTCAATCTAAAACATTAAGATTTTCCAAACTTTGCTTAGCTATAATAGGTTGCCTCGCCTAATAAATTATGGAGAAAACAGTTCAGGGTAATGACAATATGCTATGTTCCAGTTGCCCTTGGCAGACCATGTTTGTGTGTGTGTCTTTGAATTACTTTTCAAATACTGAATTTAGTGTCTGAGATGATTTTTTTTTCTTGATAGGTTGAATTAGGTCAATCACAGAGTACCTTTCTAAAAATGTAAGATATCCTTTTATCTGTTTCGTTATTAAACCAAAAAAATTAATGTAAAAGTTTTTAGCATAAACTGAGGTTTATTTTATGTCATTGCATGTTCTAAATTTACTTTGGGTCAGAAACTTTAGAGCAAACAAAGGCATGCTGATATAATTTGGTAATTATGACTGCTCTCTAAAGCAATGCCATTTCCAAACACAAACCTAAAGCCCTATTCCATTATAATAAAAATATAGGTTGCCTGACTTACCTTACACATAGAGAAAAATAGCTTTAAATTTTTTCTTTGGAGTATTTTAGAATGAAGTTTCTAAACTTCACCTTGAGAAGACCTCGGTCCAGCCTTCTCCTGATGGTTTGCTATAGAAGTCATGAGTTCAATTTAGAGAAGCCAGTAGCTATAAAAACCTATGCTCCATGTAAATCTATTACATAAATTACATCCACAGGAGAAAGTAAAAAAAAAAATCCTAAAATGACAATAAGTTGTCTTTTTTTTTTTTTTGGTACCAGGATTTTTTTTTTTCCATTCAAGAGAAATCGTTTATTTATTACACATGATAATGGATACATAGCTTCAATCCCATCTATCATTTTATCTGGTACAATTATTCAATTTAGATATTGTATAGGATGTGCCAACAATCATTTTTATAACCAAATAACTGACTCTGCTTGCTTGGGTGACCTTTTTAATGGTCAAATTCAGAGGTCACAACAGTAACTGTCACTTCAACTACACCAAGGTTTCTGAAGACAATGGCTTCATTACCCAAGCAATTGAGAAGAAACTTTTAACTTCACACTGTTGGGGATGTTTATCAAAATGCTTCAGAGTAAACTAACTTTACACAGCACATTTAGCAATCAACAGCATGGGTACGAAAAAATCCTGAGGGGACCTTGTGCTTCCCAGGCAGACAGCGGCACCACTGAGCTAAATCCTTTGATGTAAAAAAATGTTAAATCTCTTAATTTGAAGAGCAAATATTGACAGTGCTTTGAGAGCTCTCATGTCCTGTCTGCTGCATCACTTTCTCTAGCTGGACTGTGATAACTATGCTCAATTTTTTCACCCAGAAAGGGATTACAGTGAAAGAAACTGCTTCCAATTTTTTTTGCTGATTTACATGTTGTCAATATGTATTTTACTTTATACCTTGTCCTGTGGAGGAGATCTGTATAATTGTAAATTAATAAAATTTGGGATGTTTTTAGGTTATAGCCTATCTGAAAGATCTTCTGCAGGAAATCAAATTTGCTTTTCAGAAGAGTATTCTAAAACTTAACATGTGCAACTATTCTCTGATTTGACTCCCTGAAATGGAAATTCTTTTCCCAACTTTGCACAGTGCCAAGCAATTCCTAGGTGTCAAATATATAATGATTGAAGAAATAGAGTTAAAAACTTGTTTGACCCCAAAACATGAGAAAAACATATTCAAATCAGAGACACAGGGAGGAAAGTTAGGAGAACAGCAACTAAGTCACTTTTAAAAATTCACAGTACCAAGGGTGAGGAATGAGATAAAATAAAAATTTATTTAAAAAAAAATTCACAGTGAAGGCGGCTGAGATAAAATTCATTTATAAAAATTCACAGTATCTTCAGAAATACAATGTCATCTGTCATCTAACTTTGGATAGTGTCCTATAGGATAGATCAAAAGAAAGTGGATTTTTTTGTTTGTTTTTTTTGTTTGTTTTTTGAGCCAGAGCTTCACTATGTAATTCAGGCTAGTCTTGAACTCACTATGTTGCCCAAGCTGGCCTTGAACTCAGAGCAATTCTCTTGCTTCAGCCTACTGAATGCTGGGATTATAAACTTGTGCCACCACACCTGGTTAGGCAAGTGGCATGTTAAAAAGTATTTTTTGCTTTCATCTCTCTTGGCTGATAGAATTCTAGAGACACCTACTCGACAGAGTCCCAGTAACTTTTAAGCCAAGTCTCCACATGGCACAGGAGGGTGGAATTATCAGAGACTCCTCAGACTTGTGTCAGATGCCCTTCCAGATCTTTGCTTCTGAGGATGTGTGGAGAGGACAGAGCTCCCTGAATGTGGGTGTGGGCACAAAGTCAGGTGAGGGGGAGGGAAAGGGCACGGAACACTGAGCCAAAAGAAAGGCTGGGCTGCTTCACCGTGGTGATGCATGCCCATGAGCAGTGTTCACTGTATGTATCTATGACAAGCACCAAACCTCGATTTTCCTGACCGTGGTTTATTCACGCATCATACAATGGGGAAGGATAGTAGTTCTAAAACTACTTTGCTGAACATAAAAGAACAGGGCTTGGCAAGCCGGGGATTCAGCTCAGTGGCACCGCACCAAGACAGGGCTTGGATAGTGATCAGAACCTCTGCTCCCTGGGGCAGATTCAAGCCCCCAAATGTCTCTACAGCAACGTGTGGCTCTCCACCCGATCTCGTGGAACCACCCAACAAGACCACGTGTAAGCAGATTCCTCCTCTGAACCAGTTAAATCAGAGGCTGTAAACTACTGGCCCAGGGGCTGGAGCTGACTTGGGCAATTTTCGAAAGGTTGAAAGATAAAAATCCAAATTTCCAGCTTCTTTAAAAGTGAAGGGGAAATACAAGGCTTATTTGAGCCAGGATTCCAGTGAGAACACGGCAAGATCCAACAAGGGAACCCCTAAAAGTGGTGACTTGCCTTGATGTTTGAGGAGACTGTTCCTTTGTTTCCCCCTGGAGTCCTAAGACACAGATGCCTTAGATAGAAGGTAAAGGCTACCTTCTTAAAATAAAATGAATGAGTGCCACAGAAAGTGTGCAGAACACATGGCTTCTTTGGGGGAATTTTACCCATGAGCCACTCACTTGTGAATGTTATTTGTCTGGCCTCTGAAGCCTCCATGGGCTGCAGGATATGAGACAGATGATTTTCCACTCGATTCCTTCACTGTTACAGATTCACCTAAGGCTTAAACTACCATTTATTTCTATTCTGTTTCTTAAAACCATCTCTAGCCCAGACTTCCCTCCTGAATGCCAGGAGGGTTTCCCCTCAGGACGTTTCCACCTGAGTTGTCCAAAACTGATGTCATTTCCTCCAACCCAGTGCATGGCTCTGGGGCGCCTTCTGTAGTGTGCAGCATCACATATGTAAACACAAGCAGCATAAAATCTTCCACCAAGCCTTCCACTGTCTGCCTTGCCTGTGGTGTTCTTCCTCTGCTGTCCAGCAGAAAACCCGCTTAGCCCTCAACTCGCAGCCTAGAAGCTACTGCTTTAGAACCATGAAGGGATGTTACCTGCTTGTACGCTAGCAAGTTAGCCTGCCTCAGTTTCACAGACACTGGCAAAAGACATGAGACTCCTAGGTCAGAGATCAAAAGTGTTATTGCAGCCCAGCGAGCAGTATGAGCCTTACATTTGTGGACTCAGTGCAGGGCAGTGGGTTTGACCCAAACCCAATCTCAAAGGGGCAACGAGCAATCCTGTCCTCATATGAACTGCTGCATGGAAGCTGGTGCCATTTGGAATGCAAGTCTTTGTGATAGCTGACTGCTATCATCTACTGAATCGTTTGCCAATCACGCTCAGTCAGTGAAGGTGTTGGCACATGGCTTCTCCTCACCCCCCATCCACTGCCATTGTCCTGAGTAGCCTGTGTGCTTTGGTGGCTGACCTACCCAACATCCTGGCTTCTCTGTTCCTTTACTTGCCCACCACAGTGACCTTCATCTCCATTCACTTGGGCTACTGTACAGAATTCAAATACAAATAACAGAAACTGCTCCTAGCACTTAAATCATCGAAGTTTCCTTTTCTTCTCCTTCCTCCTTCTCCTCTTTAAAATTATGGCAAAATACACATAACACAAAACTTACTATCTTAGCCATTGAGTGTACAGTTCGGTGGCATTAGTACATTTACATTATTGAGCAACCATTACTGCCATCCCTCTCCTGTGCTCTTTTTGAAGTCTTGCAAAACTAGAGCTCTGTCCACGGAGCAGCTCCTCCCTATTCTCCCTACTCCCCAGTCCTGGACCTCTCCGTTCTGTTCTGTCTCCATGACTGGGACTACTCAGTTCTTATTCAGAGGTGCCTCATCTAGGTGGAGCCATATTTCTCTTTAATCTTGTAAATGTCCTCCTACATATTTCTTTAATATGTTGTGTTTTTGTTTTCATTACATTTTCCACCTTCCTTTTAGATTTCCTCATTGAACCACGGATTACTTAAAAATGTTATTTAAATTTCAAATAGTTGGGGTTTTTCTAGATATCTTTCTGTTACTGATTTCTAGCTTAATCCCAGTGTGGTCCGAGAACAGACCTTGACTGAATTGAATTCTTTCAGGTTTGTTTGGGTTTCTTTTACGACCTAGAAGACTATCTTGGCAAATGTTCCCACTTGAAAATAGTGAGTATCCTGTTAATTTGTGATACATCGATCTCTAAATGTCAGTTAGGTCAATTGGGTGGGCAGTATAGGTGGGACTTCCCTATCGCTATTGATTTTTCTGTCTAGGTCTATGAATTACAGAGAGCAATATTGAAGTCTAACTGTAATTGTGGACTTGTCCATTTCTTCTTGTATTTGTTTCATTTTTGTTACATCGACTTTAGCAAATTTAAGCATAAAATTACTAATTAATAAAAATTAATTTAAAATTATTACTAATAAAATTACTAGAACAATACATGTTAACTCATAGAACTGATAGGAATTACAGACCCAAAACAGTCAAGGGCTGGGAAAAACTAAAGATAA